GTGTGTGTGTGTGTGTGTGTGTGTGTGTGTGTGTGTGTGTGTGTGTGGTGTGGTGTGTGTGCGCACGCAGGCACAGATGCTTTCGTCTTTGTTTAGATGTCAGCGAACAATTAGCTGCAATAACATCTCTCTCCACTGTGTAGGTTCTGGGGTTTGAATTCAGGTATTCACTCTTGACAACACATATCTTTACCACTGAGCCTTCTCTGTTGCATTTAAATCTGTAATTATGAGAAAAATTGCTTCAAATAACAATACTATTAAAAAGCCTGTGCATTGATATGTATCCTTCTACTGCTTAATTCCTTTGATGTTTAGAACAAAAATTGAGAATTTATCAGTTGATCAGTAGAATTTTGATGGACATAAATTACTGAATATTCAGTGTAGCCTCATTTGTATTATAAGAAATAAAAATCCCCTATTTTGTGTAAAAAAAGAAACAGTGCATCTTTCAAATTTTAGTTTTACTCATTCTCCAGCAGTTTCCTGGTATGCAGTCTTAAAAGACATCCCCAAATCATATTCAACTTATGGACAGAAAAACCACAATTGATTAAATATATCTGCTAGAGACTAATCAATCATTCTGCTATACCAATTGATGAAGCAGCAGGAAATGAACTTGGAAATTCTGGATATATTTCAAATTTTCTTTGATGTCTAGTATGCACAAATAAGTTAGATTAACTCATTCTTTATAATTCAGAAATGTCTTTGGCAAAGTGTCTAGTTCTATGAAAGATGAATATTTATAGAGTTATGACATCAATTTTTAAATCAGCATTTTAAAATGTGACCCTCTCTTAAATAAAATAATGTCTGTTGTATTATAACTGAACTAGTCCAAAGGAGACTATTATTAAATAAATAACTAATTGAAAAAGAAAGTCATGAATTTGAGTGGATGATGCAATGAAGTCCTCTGTGAGGGTCTGAAGGACTGTGAGTGGTGGGTATGATAAAGATACATTTTGTACATTAGTGAAACTTAAAGTAAGACTTAGAATGGCATGCAAGTTTACTACAACAAATTAAATATATAATAGAGAAAAACAGAAGTTGTACTATAATATTTAGTTGTGACACTTCCTAATCATCCATTGCATACCATGACACCTGGTTTTAGGAAGTATAATTCTATGACATAGTTTAAAATATATGTGAATTTAGTCTATTGGAGAAATTTTTAAATTGCTTACTTGTTTAGTCTAAGCTCATGAAGGGAGTCAATTTGACAATATTAAAAATGCTGCTTTTGATATGTTTTTACAATTAAAGTTCATTCTATTCTTTTGAAAATCCAACCTCCATATCCACAGAAATTCTTCCATTAATCATTCAGATAAATAATGCAGACCCTGAGCTCATTTTTCTCAAGATACAGCTTGGAAATTGTCCATATCCTATCTTGTATATACAATGTTCATGTCTATAATATAGAAATTTTGTACATGAATAGTATTCAATTATAGATATATTATTATTAAAGTTTGTGAATAAAATAATAATGTTTGTACTAAGAGGAAGAATAAGTTTATTTTAATAATTGTCAATATTTAGAGTATACAGAAACAGTTTTATAATTTTATGAAAATACAAAACAAAGCCAAAAGAGTGTTGTCTAATAAATTAAAACAACTATTTCCATTTCTTCTGATGTATGTTCCTCACCAGCATCTATAATATAAACTTAGTATTTATTCATATACTGTAGATTACAAAACAATAGAATTAGATCTCTATAACGCATTTTCAGCATTCTAAAACAAGCACAAATGTACTCTTCTTATCTAAATGAAGCATGGCATTGTCTGTGAAACTGAATGAATAACATACACATCCTGGAAATTCTTTTCTTCTACTTTTGTTAATTTTAAATTGGATAAATAAAATGTTAAAAGAAATAACAAAATTGTTAAGTCTGCTATCAAAAATGCAGGAAAAATCTTCATATGTGATACCCATTTGAAATTTAACAAATGACCCTTATCAATGATTTTGGACATGGGTTTATAAAGAATGATAGTTCATTTTCATTTTTAGAGGTGACTGAATTATGTCCCTAGTCTCCCAGGATGGGCATGATTTTAAACTCACCATGCTTTAAGGATGACCGTGGACTCTTCTTGTTCTTGCTGTTCTTGCCTTTGAAGTGCTGAGATTAAAAGCTTGTGACATCATGTTCAGCCAAAGAAAAACCCACAGTTCTGTTGACATATTACATAAACAAAAATGAAAGGAAACATATACAGATTAATTGCAGAATTATATTACAGTATCTATATATAAAGACTGAGATAAAACTTGTAATGGTCATAATAATAAATATGTTTTTAAAATCACATTTTAAAAATCAAATCAATTACAATGAAATTAGTTAATTCAAGTAACATTTTGGGAAAATATAGTAAATTTTTCTAGAGTCATAACCAGGCAAATTTGTAGCTTGCAAGTCTCACCATGTATCAGTCTGTGAAAAATCTGCATAATTATTTCCTGTTTGCTGTGGCAGAAAGTATGATCAAAGCAGAAAGTTTGTGTCTAACTCTTACTTCTATACCTAAGTGTAGACAAACATCTCTGGCAGTTGCTGTAGAGAATGTTGCCACTGCTACTCAAGTCCTGCTCTCAATGTGGCCTCAGGCTAAAATGAAAATATGGGAGTCAATGTTTCCCACTTAACTGGAGGTGGAATTTAAAGAGGTCTCCCTCAGTGCTCATGTGCTGTGAGATTGATTCCTAGCCTCCCAGGATTCAGTAAATGTCCTGGCACGTGGGTTTTTAAGAGGTGATTTTGTGAGACTTTTAAACTACCGAATTTTTAAAATATTTTGATGTACTATCCAAATTGCAGCTTGTTTTTAATTTTCTTGAATTTCTATTTAATGATACTTACATACATTCACTGTTGTAAAATAAATTAAATAGTTTGTTTCATTGAAGAACTCAAGAAAAAATTTTGCATGCTTATAAAAAAAGGAGAGCAGAATTCTATACTAAAGAATCTATACACTGACCTATTAGGACTATATGTTTGGTTTTGGGGAAATAGTACTAAAGATTATGTGTGAAAATATTAAACGTTGTATATCAATTATAATAATATTAAATTGCTATAATCTTAGTTTTGTGGATTAATAGATTTGTTTGTTTGGTGTGTATGTGTGTGTGTGTGTGTGTGTGTGTGTGTGTGTGTGTGTGTGTGTGT